TGGAGTATCTTGGAAGGTTTGTTGAAGTTACTGATATGAAAACTGTAGCTGCCTGGACAATGAGATCAGTAACGTTTTCCACTGCTTCATACGTAGGTAGGTACAATCCGTATTATCTCTTCCTTAAGCTCCATTATGACAGAAAAAATATTGTCCGTCAGCTCTGACCAAATTATAACGTCCAAAATATAACTACCTAAATTGGGACAAAGAATGCCTCTGAAGCTTCACCTGTTGGCCTGGTTTCATATATATTTTCTGTACTGCAACAGAGACTGGATGATATACACGATGAATTAGGTGTTTGTTAATAAGGTTTTGACGGAAACCGCTACAGATCCATGAAATTAGAGTGGCCATTATGTTTAGTGTTTATTTTGTCTGTGCTGCTTTTCGGTTTTTCTTCGAAGGAGATGTTTTGGGACAGTCGTTCCACCTCTTCTCTGCATTTCTGACTCTGTTGCAACGGATTCAGTGCTCTCTAGAGAGATTATACTCTAGCTGTAAAGGGCTTGGCTGTTTCAGTCTTCGCTTTCATATGTTGTGTCTTTTGAGTATCCTGATCTATTTTTGGTTGATTATTTGCTTTGTGTTATGTATTACTATTTTGCTGCAGCAAATTGGTCAAAGGTAGGCTCTTTGGTATAGTAAAGAGAATCCGATTCTTGTAAATTTTGTAATATTTGCATAAGATACATTAGGTCAAGGTTTGGTTATTTTTCGTGCTTCTGGGTACGATAACTTTCTGTGGTGTTGTAGGTTTGACTGCCTAAATGGAAAGATACTAATAGTATCAAATACGAATTAATTCCGCGTAAATAGTTAAACTAAAATTTAGTGGTTAGTACATTGCATGATCTTTACTAATAAGAATAAAATGACTTACCCAATAAGGTAGCTAATAAGGTATGAGTCAGTAGCTCTCTTTAAAATATACATTTATTAAAACACAAAAAAAACTTTTCTTGATTAGCCTAGATTATATACGTTACAAAAAAACAACATTCATGAATGCTTTTCAGCATGTCCTACTTGTTGGTCCTACGGGACTCTCATAGCGTTCATTTCTTACTGTATACTGCAATTCCTAATCCTAAAGCATCGATGACGCACTACTTATCAGCATCTTGCAAGAAGCTTGATTAATAGGCGGTGCAATTATTCGCGAGAGAGGAGAGAAGATTTCTTGTATATATGCTTGAATTGGCGCACATGGTCGTCACTTTGAAAAATCCAGTTATCAGGATTATACACGTTGAATCACAGCAGAGGAACAATTTTACCTCGCAGCATAACCAGTAAAGTTTGCCAGAGTTCTTATTGCTCATTTATGAAGCTTTCTTCGTACAAGAACATGTTTTATCCTCCATCTTATGCAAAGGAATCTCAGCTCGATTACATGATGTTTTACAGAGAACGATGGCGAGAGCTGTGTGTGGCCCGAAGGCCCACACATTCGTTAACACACACAACTTCAGGCAGAACAGAGAGAGACAACCAGTCCTTCCAGTTTTTATCCAATGCGACGCATGTGGCAGCGCGCGATAACGATTAAAGTATCGATGATGATATACTGTTCACCGTGAGAATTCTGTGTTCTCACACTTTCTATTAACTTTTTTGCTATGAATTTCTTTTTCTAATTTTCAACTTGATCATGTTCAAGAAAAAACTGTGTGTTCTTATTTGCAATTTTTGGACAGTCAACTTCCACTATCATGGCCAACAACAAAGCATTAGACACATGTAAAGTTTCTACGACATGAGGTCTTTGTATAGCACTGTTGGCACTGATAACATCTCATCAAAATTTGTATGTAAGATCTTACGTATCAATTTAAGTACCCAACCTTAATACATTTTTGGCAATGGAGTATTTATGGTCAGGAATGTATGTCTTGTGTTTCTCAACTGATCTTCCATTCGCATCTTGATCCACCTTGTAACACATAACTTTTAGTTAGAAAGTTTGCAAATCAATTCTTCTTTCAGAAACGGAAAGCAAATCATACTCAAAAATAACACCACGGGAGAGGTTCAGGCTTTTATTTGCTGAGGTTTCAACACTAATGTGTCTGAATTCAGACATTCTAGGAAGAGATGCCGGCTGAATAGCTAATGTTGCTTCTAATAACAGATCGCCATATGGAAGTCTTTTAACAGTTTTCAAGTCAGCATCACATGATTTTAGATGTTTCCGAATTAGAAATGACGTCAGTTTACGAAAATCATCTGAATTGCTTATAACAATTATAAATCCTAACGCACATTCTGATGCTATGCTCTATTTTTCACCTCCTCTTCTGTTCCTATTTTCTTTGTACTAACATTTGTATAACTAAGATTTTGAGAACGAACCATGTTTGAAAAGGAATACAAAATAGTGTTCGGCGGCACCCCTCACCACAGAATACAACAAGGGGACGCAGATTCCTGTGCCAGGGCTAACAAATCTATACCCACTGTCAGCTTTTCCGAAAGCTTATCCCCAAGATACTGACTTTAAGGACTAGTGACCAGCTAATTGATGCTAGCGGGGCAACTGAGTGCCTCCCGTTTCAGTCTGAAGGAGAGGCCAAATCAGTATATTGAAACAGTATTTCGCCCTTCAGCTAGCTACCTGGATCCTCCTTTCCAGGTCACAACACATGGCAGATGCATAGGCGGATTTCTGTCCGTAAGTTATTAGAAACAAATATAACAGAATTTCGCTTTGAGCCCCAATCTCCAAAAAGAAAAACCAGAAAGAGAGAAAAAAATGTAAAAAGAACAGATAAAGGAGAGTTAAAAAGGAAAGGAGGAAAGATCACTAGACCTCCATGATCCTGACCCCGTCTCACCAAGATGATGATCCCCTGAAGGGACTAGGGTACCTTGTGATTGCCACACCCGTACGCACAAAAAGTGTGCGTCTGAGGGGAAAAAAATCTAAGGAACTCCTTGTTAGACATTATAAAAAAGTTTCGCATTAGAAATGTCTTATACCGATTACTTTAATGTGCAGATATTTGTAAAAGTTAGTTAGGTACCCATAGTACAGTAAATATCTATGTTATTAAATAAGAAATAAAAATGAAAAATGTTAAGTATAGCATATATTGTATTTTAATTCCTTGATCTGTAATTTGGAAATTAAGAATCTTTTCTTTATAAATTGCCAAAGGGTGAAATGTAATGAACCATCCTTAATTTACGCATAAACATTCAAATTTAATTTAAAGACAGCCTTCTAGTCAAATGGATGGCATCGTGTTTTCGAAAATTTATATGATTTGTTCACGTTGATATACAGAATAATCGTAAAAGTTGGCAACATGCTTTACTTCTATAAATATCTGTTTTAAATGGATATAAATTTTATATCAAAAGTACAGCATGGAGTTTATACGAAAGTACAAAATTGAGCTTAGCAGAGCAAGATTATGTAAATTAGGACAAAAAAACTTTTGATGTTAGAATCGTGTAGAATAATGTTTTTCAAATTTTTAAGTCATATCATTCCTTATGTACGCAACCGAGATATTTATTTTCATTGCGATGTGATATGTGTTTGATATTCCTGGAGATATAAAACCCTAAGTAAATTCCAGGTGTCTTGCCAAACTGTTGCTCAAATGAGTGTGGCTCCATTCAACGCGGCATAGACTCTTTAATATATCTTTTTAAATTATAACTTAATACCTTACTAACTGAACAACTTAAAAGCATAAAATGTAGTTTCAAGGTAATCAATCATACATACATTTTATATGCTGCTGCAGTGAACATTTCTGTTATCGTTTGCACTATTATTACGATGAATGAAAGATGTTTTAAGTGCTTATATAATGCATACCTATACAGAATAATAATTTGTTTAACATTTTGTTTAATTGCTGTTCATTCCAAAAGCCGCTTGGTAAAATGTTCATATTTTTTAACAAGTGCAAGAAATTTATACTATTTATTGGTTCTGATTAACGGCGATATCAAGAACGAATTCACTGGTATATTTCCTTCTCAGTACCTAATAATGTAACTCAGTAATGCTTTAGACCAGGTATATTAAAACACTGCGAAACAAAAGTTGTTTGTTTCTGCGTTTAATGGTTCTGCATTTCGTAAATCAAAGCACGTTACCGAATTTATAATCCATGAAACTGCTAATTATTAATACACCGTGACTATTTTATTTACTAGAATTTTCTACCCTATGGAAGATACAGAAACCTATTTATATTTAACATTCTTAATCCCACAGCTTAAATTATTTTAATTTTCATAAAACTGTCCGTTTTTACACCTTGAAAAACTTTACAGTTTGCCTCAAAAATAAAGTAAACAATACCTAAGCTATGTTTTAGGACCTCTTTTTTTTTCATACGTTACTTGCTTGTTAAAATATTTTTAATGATTTATGTGATCATCAATTTGAAAATTTTGATATCATGTATACTTTTTATAAATTTAATATATGTAGCCTTTCCCTAATTTTCATTATTTTAATTTTCCTTCAGAAATCCACGCTGCATTTTGTTTTCTTGGTGTGTTTCAAACAGTTTCATTAAAGTAGACTTTCTCACGTTATACAAGGCGTTTAAGGATGTTTAAACATGAAACCTAACAAAGACTGATTTCATGCGGCTTTTGATCTGAATCTTTCCTTTTGAATTCATCGCGTTTTCAACTTTTGAGAATACGTAGGCCGAACTATTATTTGACTAAGTTGAATTGAGCTTTGTTTTCAAAGCTAAATATAAAATTCGTTCAAAAATGAAAAATAGTCATTTACAAAAACTAATTTTCTAAGACATTGTTTATTGTTTAAAATTTAAATCTTACATTATTGCATTAAAACCTTTGTGTTAGGACGTATTTTGGGAATTTTATTCCTACGTGCCATTTTTAAAAATTTTAAAACTTTTCTTTAATATATGTTTATTATAAAATTTGTTTCTCAATGAAAAGTATACACTTGTGTAACCAATCTTTTACCAAAACTGTTTCTTCCTATTTTATAGCCCTAATGTATGTGGGAGAGGACCGAGAAGTCACTGTTGCCCGGGTTGGACAAATAGACCAGGAATCAGTTCACTTTGCATTGTTCGTAAGTATACGATGAGTAATTTCTCGCAGTGAATCGTAATTTTGAATTATTTTATCATTTAAATACTTGTTGTTAGGTCTCACTATTTAAAATTTCAGTTTAGTTTAACGTGTAGTTTTACAATAAGAATTTTCAAAAATAGCTTAATAAAGTAATTTGCCTTCTGCACTATTAAATAATGAAGAATCTGTATGTATATATGCATGTATGTTCGAATGTTCCTCGCATTATGGAAAAACGACGGGACCTAAAGACACCAAATTTTGAACACACGTAATTCTCCACTCGTATATGCGCGTTTTGAAGCCTGAATTTTGGAATTTCGAATTTTGTTTCTAATTTTGTTTTTCCGAATTCTATTTATTTTGTATTTTATGAGAATTTAATGAACCTCATCAAGTTAAAAGTTTTGTGCTGCCACTCTTCAAAGTGTAGTATATTTAAGTTTCAAACTTAATACGAAAAATCAGCGATATATAAAATATGTGTTATCACTCCACAAAAAGCAATATATTTCTCTTTCGACGTTAATCATTCAGAATTTTGGAGACACAACGGCACCTACAGCCAGCAGATTTTAAACACACACAGTCTTCCACCCGAACACATGCATCAGCCCGAATTTAAAATTTGAAGTTTTTTATTTGGTATTGAACGAATTTATGGAATTTTTCATTTCAAACTCACCATTGTAAAAGCTGTTCACAAAGCTTAAAATATTTATATTACAAATTTAGTGAAAAAAAAACTTCAACGATATACAGATTAGGCAGCATTAAAATATCTTAAGCGCAGCTATCTTCGGGTTCAGATTTATTTAAGATTCTTGAAATGAATATAAATGGCTTTAGTTTTTAGATTTAAAGACAATGAGTGAAATATATGAAATAATCGTAAGTGTATCGGGGTTTACTTATAATCATTCTGAAGAGCCTAATATTAATTAGCACAAACAATATCAAAATGATAATCAAATTCATAGAGTACTTTCCCCATTCTTCCACTTCCCATTCCACAGACTTCTAGTCTCTGCATTAACAATGGGGCTTTGCAAATCATGTAGGAAATTGCCTCCTTGCTCTGAGATCCAGTGAACTGTAGAACGTCAAATATGAGACCGAAAATCTTTGGATTTATAGAGGCTTATCACGTATGCAACATTATAATGATATTCTAAGACTCAAGGAATTTTTTTTATTTCATGTGTATCAGATGAATAAACCAATTATAGATATAGAATCATACTTGTCCAGAATGGCATCCAATCCTTTTAAATAACCATGCACCGTCTTTTTGCAGTTAAATACTTTTGTCAGTGCTCGTGGTCTGCTCCAAACATTATCGAATCTTTCTTCTGGGAAACTTTTCATATCAAAGCATGGAAATTAGATCAGTATCATCTCACGGAAATTATTATAGTGCCTTCACTCAATGTCAGAAATAAATGAGGTTTCGTGGTAACTTTATGATATATTTGACTAAGACCGAATGCTTTTTAGGTGGGTCTTCATCATAAGATAAGGTTTTGATTTAGTTTATTTGATTACGGCAAAGCACTAGAAGCTATCTGCTTAAGAGGAGAGATGCCTTCGTGGAGGACGTTTCAAGAGAAACTAGATCGTATACATGTTACTCATGGAAAAACCACAAAAATGCCCATGTTGCCAGCCCCATTCGCTGGGTTTCTAACCCCGGACCCACCTACCAGTATTCAGCAACATTACCGTTTGGCCGCTGGTGGGATTTATTTTAAATCTTTCTATCAATTATTTCACTTCCGGCCAGAATTATAAGCGTTAATGTTTTATGCAAAGTTTGTCTGGCGAACGCCAAGTCTTAAGTTGTGGTTTTGCCAAGCGAGAGAGAAAAAACGAGCCTCCGCGAAAGTTACCGATTCTATTTTAAATAAATATATTTTAAAATACGGGGCGCCCCTAAAAGTTATATCGGATAATGGTCCTCAATTTGTAAGTAATATATTTGAAGACATGTGCCAAAACTGGGCATACGTCATTTAAAAATGGTCCCGTATCGGCCGCAATCAAATATAGCGGAACGGGTCAATAGAAATATAGTGAAAATTATCCGTAGTTATGTTAAAAATTTTCATAAAAGCTGGGATAACTATGTCAATGAATTTGCTTTCGCCCTTAGGACCGCAAAACATGATACAACGGGCAAAACTCCTGCTGAGTTATTTTAGGCAGAAAGATTATAACGCCGTTAGATAAATTATTTTATGTGCAACAAAGAGCCCCAGAATTTAAAATGGGTGATATAGAAAAACTAATTAAAGAAGCAAAAAAGAATACTGAAGTAGCACAGAGAAAACAAAAGCTGTATTATGACTTGAAACGACGGGGAGTAACTTATAAAGTAGGGGATGAAGTTTTAAAAATTAAGCATTCACTTTCTTCAGCACCAGAAGATAAAACTGCCAAATTTTTTCCACGATTTGAAGGACCATATGTCATAGAAAAAATAACTCACGCTGTAGTAGTGTTAAAAGCCAGGAATGGTGGTGAAACCTGCTCCGCAAACATTGATCAAATCAAACCCTACTATGATCGTAATAAAATGCAAATATTTTCAGATCTTTTGCAGGATCCGGCACGGCAGACACGGCAGGCACAAGCTCCAGAGGTGGAAACAACGACAAGTACAAGGGCAAGCCATTAAGAGGCAGGAGCAAGTGAAAAGAAAGTTTCCCCGCGGGAAAATTGAAGGTAAGGTAACAAGAAAAAGAAGCCGTTCCACCGTCCAGAAAAGAGAGCTCACGAACACCCCCAGAATGAAGAAGGGAGAAGGACGACGTATGCAAAGAGAGCCAGGAGAAATGACGGCAACTATAACCCGGCTCTAAAACGGAAGATCTACTCATCCGACAGGACTCTCCGCAGCAAATGTCGCCGAACTGCGGAAGGGCCACCAGCGGCGGCGGAGGAAAAGTTACAAGGAAAATTTGAACGGCCAGCAACGAGGTCCAAGCAGGAACGCGAAAGAAGTTTCCCGGTTCCGCCAAGACCAGCTGCCATCAAACGGCCAAGACCACAGGCAGAGGCGAAAAAGAAGGTATTCAAGGGTGACCGAACTGGAGAAAAAAGAAAGCTTCTAGAGGAAGGCACTGAAGGGCGAGCCCGCACAAGAAGGAGGATAAATCAAACGAGAATCTACGCTACCTTCCAGGACTGGGCTCAGAAAAGAATGTCCGAATATCACAAAGATAAGTAAAATTTTATGTTACTTTGCAAACTTAAGTTAATCTTTCATTCTTACTGCAAGTGGCAGATTTCAAGAAGTTTTACCTCATGCGAGGTCTACCTTTATCGCCAAAAGGGCGAGAAATGAGTTGTTACCGATTTTGGTATTATGTTTTTCAATTACTCGCGCGTAAAACTAAAGTTGATGTATAATAGCGAATGTGTAAAGACTTAAATATTGTAAAAGTTATTGTATAAATTTTATTTAAAACATTCTGGCAAGAAAGAAGTTTTAGTCTGAAAGACTTTTTGAAATGTAGTATTTCAATGTAGAAAGAATTGGCACTTGCTTTGAAAAGAATAGAAGTTAACAATGTACTACTAATGTATGTTTTCAAATGCGTAAAATTAACGGCATGTTAATATGTTCTTATATACAATGTGAACTGTTATTTTAAATGTTAAGAAATACCGTGATATGGTAAAAGTGAAAGTAATGTTAAAATTTTTTTTATTCGTGTGACTGTAAAAAGACCTAAATCATGGTGAATATGTGTTAAAGGTTGAATGAATGTAGTTAGGCTCTCTGACGCTACACTTCAGAGTTAGCCACTTTCAGAATAGTACCTCAGGGTTTAGAGTTGAAGTTAGGGTGTGTTACGAGGTCTTGGTATGTTGAATTTTTAACACGTTAGTGTTTTGATTGTAGGAGGAAGTGTTGAACACGTAGATAGACATAAACACATTCGTGTTTGGTGTTCTTTTACAACACATGTCAGAGAGCACGGGGAGAGATAATTAAAATAGTCATGAATGAAATAAGAATGTTAAGAGAAATATAATTATGCATGTTACTTGCCATTTCATTGTGTAACATTTCATTAAACTAGTTTTCCTTCCAGATCTCTGGAAGGAACCAGATTTGAATAAAAGCTCCTGTTTAGATGCAGTACAGATGAAAAAATTGCGTGTCCTTGGGAGCTGCTATTGTAAAAACAAATTTCTTTTTTTTTAAATTTCTAGTTTCTAGTGAAAAATGTTTGTAAAAGATTGGCCTCGCGTTAGATTCTAGAGCTAAAAGTTTTCAACAAGGTCGTTTTAGACCTCAGTTTCAAACTAATTAACTCTGGCGGGAAGTATGTAAGGATCTTAAGTTTTACTAACGTTTATTTTATTTTAAATCTTTACTATCACTTCTTATTTTCTACTTCCGGCCAGAATTAATAAGCGTTAACGTATTTATGCAAAGTTTGTCTGGCGAACGCCAAGTACTTAAGTTGTGGCTTTTTGCCAAGCGAGAGAGAGGAAGCAGTTAGTCGAAGCAGGCCGCTTACCTTAGAAGTTTTACTCAGTTGCTGGTTGCCTTCCAGGCCAGAGGTTTAATCCTCTTGATAATTTTTAAACGTATTGTAGTGTTAACAGTTCTCTGTACTACATACGGCTTCCTGTTAATATAAGGCCAATCTTCCACGTTTATTATTTCAAAGTTAAATTAGAGTTTAGTTTTATTTTTATATTCTTACGTTTAGACCACAAGTAGTGGGTCTTTGTATTCCGAAGTACGGAAAGTTATTGTAAATAGAGAAAAATAAAGGGTTTTGTATACCCTTCTTGTGTATCCTGTCTACTTCCCACAGTTATTGAACATAGCTTTAGTAAGCTCTCTGTTCCGAGTCAGGTCCTTGCATGTTCCGAAAAGTAAGACGGAATTGAACTGATAAGTATACCCTAAAATGAAAGACTCATTGATGAAAGAAATACTCATTCCATAAGACGCTAGATAAACAAGAAGATCTGCGG